GAATCAAGAGCTTTCAAACTTCATGAAGGCTTTCTGTGCATCATCACTCCTCCTCGTTTGGAGCTGTGCAAGCCCAAATGTCCTTTCGGTGCACACCTAGCCCTCAGGGAGCTGACCTCCGACTGCTCGATAGGAGAGCGGAAAGTTAGAGTCACAGTAGTAGCATACCTGCAACTTCTTTAGCCGGCTCTTGTTGGCGTGACGTAGGCCATGACATCCCTCCTGTAGGTGTAGCTTGTCTCCGTGCTCTGACATTACGAAGGTCGTTCTCAAACGCCGGAAGTCACCCTTCCTCGCTGTAGTCAGAGCTTCACGTAGATCCGGATCGTCATCCATTCTCATGTTCGTTCTCATTGGCGCACTTGATGCCGTAGTGGTGGGCGTAGGGTGCTCGATCATGGTAGTAGCGGCCAACTTTGGAGTGGGTACCGCAGGCCTCTTCTCCGTCTCGGTAAGAATAGGGTCCGATGAACTCGAACTCGTCATCGATGCCAACTCCTCTTGCAAGGCCTTGGACGCTTGGTTCCGTATCTTCAATAGCCTTCTAGCCTTGCTTGTAGCAGCATCGTCCTCCCCGAAGCACCTGTGGGCCACCCATTTCAACAGCTCCCACACACCCACGAGCGCGATTCCTGCCACCACCAGTAGCCCGTAGAACTCGGTGCTCCCGTCGTAGTCGATAGGCTTCTTGATGTGTAGCTCCGTTGCCTCATTCACCGGCACCTTCGAGAGCAGCATCACCCAAACAAACATCCGCATCAAGTCATAGTAGTCAGGGCCCTTCAAACTGGCAATGATCACCTTCTGGTCGTCCTGGTCGAACTCCTCCGCCGTGCACATTCCCCAAAGCCGTCGTAGATCCCCTAGCCGTGCGGCCGGCAGCGGCTTTGTGCCCATGTCTGCTGCCTGCACATCTCCCGGTGTGTGGATCACTTTGACGCGTCCTTGCTGGGTTTCCATCCTCAAGTGACTGGCTTTTACCTTCAAGTGTCTCGTCTTCCACGAACCCGGCGACGTAGTTGCCAGTCCACATGCAGCTGTATTGTCCACTCGAAGGGCCACGGGCTGGTCTTGATCTTCTGTTGACACAGAGTTCACCCAGGCTTGGATACCTGCTGCTTGCTGGCTGGCATTCAGCAGCTCTACCAGCTCTGCTTCCGCCGCTGACAAAACCACTGTAGGTTGCTTCGCTTCGATCTCCTTGAGGGGCAAAGCTTGCGTCTGAATATGCTTCCACAGGGACCCCTTGGCCATTATACTGAAGCCCCATTCCAGGCGTGGCTGCGAGGTACCTGAGTGTCATCTACGCCAGCTTGATCGCCGCCTGAGGACTTTTGGTAGCCGCCGCACAGACATGAGCTGTCGAGAACCCAATATCGGGGCGAGTCCTGGTGACCAGCCACAAAAGTTCTCCTGCCATCTTCTGCGCTTGCTTTACCAGGCTCTCATCACAAGGAGCGAAAGGACGCTCCTCCTCATCCTCGTTTGGCATCACTTCCCTAGACGCCGGAACTTGGGAAGGTCGCGCTGCTTCCTCTGGGTAGCTCTTGAGCAGCTCCTGCACGTAGCTCCCCTGAGAAATATGGAAACTGGTGATGTCCTTGGTCTCCTTTCTTCTGACATCCATTCCCAGGTATCTCACAGGATCACGTCCCAACCACTCCATTGCTGAGCACTTCCAACCCTTCCCACTGTCATCGTCCTCAGTGATCCACTTGTAGATGCCCTCAATGAGACTTTTAGGCCCCAACATCATCACGTCATCCACATAGATCACCATGAGGGCCTTTGTGGTTGTAATCTCATCACAAGCCACCAAGCGCCACACTGCTGGATCTGTTTCCATCTGTAAGAACATATAGTCCTTTCCGCCCATCTGCAAACGTGCTTTGGCCACCCTGCGGTCTCTGAAGCTTCCCCACAGTCTTGGGGCTTCTCTGAGTCCATAGAGGACTCGATCAACCATGAACGCCTTGTCCGGGGGAACGCAGCCTGCATCAACCACCACCTTCGGCACAGTGATCGCGTACTTGACCTTAGACTCCTCCATGGGCGTAAGCGTGAAAGCTGCGTTGACGTCCGTGATGGCTCCATGCCACTTTTGTTTAGCGGCATACGACAGGGAAACCCGAACCGACTCCGCATTGGCTGCTGCCGTATAGACCTCCACATCGCTGTTCACATAGTTGCCGCATATGACCAGCCTGCTCTTTCTTTTGAACAGCCCTTCCGAACCACTGCTTGGTGGCTTGACTGTATGTACAGTTTTGGCCGGAACAAGAACAATCTCCTCCGCCTGCGCCTTCCGTCTGGCCTCCGACAAAGGAATAGTTCGGAGCGTACCGGAGTCCAAAAGCGTAGACAGCTCCTTCTGAATGCTTTCCTTCCACTCACCGAGATTTCGCTTCACCTCAACAAGCTCCACACCATGCGCAGTTTCCAAGGGCTGAGTTAGCCCTTGCAGCATACTCTCAACTTCGAGGCTGGGCTCCACCGTGGCACTGAGAGCCATGAGGTTCACGTTTCCTTCTTCTCGGGCTTGGTGGCTTCGGGAAAGCAACTCGTTCATGTAGTCGATCGCTTCATCGAGCTTGTAGAAGAGCACCCTTTCCCGCTGCGTGGCATACTCACCACGCTCCGCTTGGCGAGCTCTGATTTGTCGCTCTTCTTCCGCAAACTCTGATAGCCACGTGACCCGACTTCTCATTCGCTGCTCCTCCTCATATCCCAAGGGCAGCAATGGCGTAGAAGTCATCACAACCTCTTCCGCATCCCGATTGTCCGGGCAATACTTGATGGCCCACCTCAGACGCAGCTCAACTCGTCCACCTGGAACTACCATACTGTCCAAACGCTCTCCACCCATCTCCGGCAGGTACTCCCTTGTCCTCGATCCTGAGTCCGATGAAGACGTTTGGAGGCTCTGCGGTGCTGGAGTCGCTGAGCTAACCTCCATGTTCTCTTCTGTACTCGGCCTTTGCAACGTAGACTCACTGGAAGACCCCGGTCCCAAGAACCCTCTTTATGACATAGTCGTAGTACCCGTAGGCGGAGCTGTTGTGGGTGCTTCTGAACTTGGAATCGGCGGAGTAGGCGGTCTGCCCCTCCTGTTGTTGACATTCATCATCTTTAGCATCGGGCTTCTCTCCGGCATTGTAAAGCCCAGGTCCTTCAGATCCTCACACTGATGGTCCGTAAGCTTTTCCCATTTGCTCACTGTATAGCCGATCGCGACGATCCGATCTCCCTCGTCCCCCTTCATTGGAGCATGTAGACGATCAGGTCTTACAGTAATCGGTTTCTCGATGCTAAACTTCTGCCCCGGGACCTCTTTCCCATTAACCCACATTGAAGCATAGTTGCCGTAGAACTCGTCGCCCGGCTTCATTTCCTGCCAGACATAGCTTCCCTTTGCGGTCTTTAGTGGGGAAACAAGGTTCACCGTGGACTTGAGGTTGAAGGAATCCTTGTGTACCGGCATCAAGGCGTTCTTTACTAAGGCGATTGACCTGAAGACCTTGTCAGGGTGGTCCAGCGCAAGCAACTTAGCCGCCAACTCCGTCTCCTGCGCAAACTTTTCCGTGGCAGACGTGATGCTTGTAATCCCACCATGCTGGTAAGCTCCCAAGTTTAAGTATGCCGCCCTGTCCCACACGTCGCCCTCCTTCATTTGTGGCCTTTCAACCTTCGCTTCCTTGGACTCCCATATAGGTGACGCCAACAACTTGTCGACCAACACCCTTCGCTCGCCGACCTTCATTGCATGGATCTCAGGGTCACTTAGCTTGGTCTTGGACCTCACACGGCGAGTAGGTTCAATGAGGTCCACCACGTGCTCGGCTTCATCCTCCTCATCGACCTCATCATCTCTCACCGTACGCATATGCAATGTCCGAAGCCACAAGCCATCATCCAGACGAACAACATGTCCTTCTCTCACATCATCCGCTGGGCCCATGTAGATTCCACGCTCCCATCGGGGGTCGAAAGGTCCACGGTCCTTCTTTGACTTCACCCACACGACCGATCCGAACTTGAGGTCTGGAATCTTTAGTCCAAGTTGCCTGGCGTTATGCACCTGGCAAGCATGCTTCATTGTGCAGGGCCAGAGCTCCTTGTCCAGCTCTGCTGCTTGAAGCCGTACTCGAGCTTGAGCCTTGAGCCACTTCACGTGGCCCTCCACCACAGCATTTTCGGTAGGCGTCAAACCTTCTGTGAACGTCTGGTAGATGTCCCTTTCCCGACACCATTTCTTCACTGGCTTGACTCTGAACTCCCTTGCCCGATCACTGTGAATGCGAGTCAAAGGTAGCCCCATTGCTCGTATTTTCACATACAAGTCTTGAACGCATTCCAGAATCTCTTTGCCTGTGTGACGCTCCAGAGGTACGCAGAATCGAAGCATTTGCATCTCCATAGGTTGCTTAAGCTCTTCGACTTTCTTTTTCCACTCCTCCTCCTGGGCGTCCATTTCCCCATCATCGACCGGATCAAGTTCTTCCACCTCGGAATCCTCTTCATCGGCTAGAAATCCGTCCAGGCCCTCCTCCTCATCCAAAGGCTCATCCTCTGGAATATCTCTGACTTTGGGGTAGAGGTACGTTGCCGCTAAAACAAACTTGTATCTCCTCCCCCTCACTTCATCTCTGCCGCCATCCGCGAATGGCCCGGCAATGTCCAGACTCATAGCATAGGCATCTCTGTGGACCACCCGCCTGGCTGGGCGCCCAGTACCTGAGGCTGCTAGGCACACCGAACAGTCGCGTCTGTAAGGCCAATGTCCTCGCTCCACGTGAGCTTTCCTGCCATTTCGGTCTTTGACATCGCCTTTTTCACCACCACTCGGTTCAGGGCCTTGTTCCACTCGTGGATCGCGTCAGCCAAGGTGATTCGGAAACCATGAGGCCAAATCGTCTGGTCCACATCTTGGCCGTCCTCCTTTGAGGTCCAACACCTGGAATCCTTTAGACCATTAATACCAAGTCCCAGATTGCTCAAACAGCATGTAGGCCTCCTCATGACATGTCCGAGGGCTCCCTGCTCAAACTGGAACTTGACCATGCCCGTCTCCTCCACGAACCGCCTCATAAACTCTGTGCTCCAAACAGACACACAAGCGTCGCGACGGGGTCCCTCTGACATGTAAAGCTTGGGGTCCTCTGGAAACTCTAGGCAGAAGCCCACATGGGATCCTCCAGACTCTTGGTTCTCAACCGCCGCCTCCGCGCATAGCCAGAGCCAAATCATCTTGAACAGCACCTGATTCTCATTTCTAACCCGGGCTTCATCTTCCACCCCGAGTCCCTCCTTGAGTCCCCATGGCTCGTGCATTGACCTCACTGCCCTGGGTCCCGGCTCTCCATTCTGCCTGAAGCGTAGAGGTGAATATGTTGCTCCAGGAGGGCCACCGAAGACGTGCTTGATCCGTCCCCCCTTACCCGCCCAAAGGAGAACACCATACATCTTCTCGTTCTTCAGGTCCCACCCCTTCTTACTGTCAATCTCCAGCAAACCCGGCAAATCACGGAGAGGGTCATTCTTGACCCCATTGCCAGAGAATAAGTGCACAGTCCACTGCTGCGCCTGCCACAACTGCCGACGCCTTGAGCGGTTGAGAGGAAAACTCTTCATCCACTTCCAAGCTTCCTGCTCTGTCGTAGGAATGTCCACAACAACCTTGAGCTGATCCTCCATAGGCACATGGTTCATGAACGGCGCTCCCATGACAGCTCTCAAACCATCTTCAAGGGTTCCGGTCAGCATGTAGTCCCTCACGTTGTCAGTCCATTCCCGCTCCTTGTAGGTCTTGGAGGCACAGATGGACGCCTTGAGCTTAGCTAACGACTCCATCGTCTCGGTCAGCTTCGCTTCTTCCAGCTCTGCAATAAGCCGAAGTGCATCGCACTGCGAAACCTCGGGGCACGTAGACTTCGTGTAGACCTTGACCTCCCTTTTGGTTGGGTGCTTCAGACGGCAACCCCTTTTGTCCCACGCGAACTCATATCCCAGCGCCTTCACCAGGGTCCCCAACGGGACGATGGGTTGTGTACCCTCATCTCCCAAGATCGTGCCGGCCCGGTTCTGGTCCATCTGCACCCTGGTTTCTCCTGCCAACGTCACACTCACGCTGCCAAGGCCCGCTGGTACATCAATCGCTGTCTTTGCTCTCAACGGATGAGTAGCGCCGGAATCAAGAAGTCCCATCCGGCACAGTCTGCCGAAGTTCTCTTCCTGCCTGAGTAGCTCCTTCAAAGCTGGGGATGAACCATCGACGCCTCGTTGAACTTCATCCACTCTGAACACACGCACGGCCGGGCCGCTCTTCTGCTCCATGAAAGCCTTCATCAGCCTCTGAGCGTCCTCAATGAGCTGCTCGACCGGGACCCCCTGAACTGGTGACTCGGTTGCACCCTGTCCATCTGTTGCCGTAGTCGTAGAGGATGACTGTTCCGCCCCTGGGCTTCCCTGGCCAGCATCATTGCCCCTCGGGACCTGTCCTCTATGAGCATTGCCCTTCTTGTTGCCTGTGCCTCCCGTAGACGACTGAGGCGAATCGTTCATCGACAAGGCTCGCTGCTGCGGTCGTTCCTGCTTGGTAGGGCACGCCCAAGACATATGTCCGCGCCCTCCACATTCAAAACAGCGATCCTTGGCCTCAGACTTACTCAGCTTGGGGTGTTCAAACTTGCAAGCTTTTCCTCTCCGGCACCCTTCCTCCGAGGAGAAAAACCTGCACGGCTTGTTGATCCCATTCCTTGGCGTGGAACTCGGCATAGGTGTAGATCCCGGAGGTGCTTCCACGGCTCTGATTCGAGCCTGCGTTTGTCCACTCGGCTCATCCTTGACCTTGTTGCCCCTCTTGTAACCAAGCTGCTCGAACTCGGCCAGGTAGGCACGGTGGATGGCTAGGACATTCGTTTCACTGGGGGCGAAGTCCACACGAAGATGGTACCTGATCGGGTTCATGCGGAAAGCGATGCCGTTGTGCTCGCTGACGGGGCGCTTTACCATGCCTTCCAGGGACCTCAACAGAATGCTGGGGTCTGGTGTCGCCAAGCCCAGATCCTTTGCCCTCTGGTAGAACCTGGACCATTGGCGCAACGCTGCTATCGCCTCCTGCACTGTTGTTGCTGGTTCCGGCGACTCCACCTTGCGGAGCAGCATTGACTTTTCCGTAGCACTCCCTGGCCTGTAGACGATCATGAGCCTTGCAAGGATTTCCAAAGTGGTCCTTGCCCTCGCTGCCACCAAGTCACGACGGATCTCATCCGGCGTTGAGGCCAACAAAATGCTGGCTCCCCTCCTGTCAACCCGTGACCATTTGGGGTCCGCGGTGTCAACACTAAGCTCCGGCTTCAAAGCCAGACGTCCAAACTGGTCTGCATCTTGATACTTCTTGTAGTAGTCCATTGCGTCCTCTACCACATTCTTCCACCACTCAGCACTGCTTGCGCTGAGGTCACCCATGACATTCTCCACACAATGCAGCCAGTCACCAAAGTCCACCGCGCTTGTTTCTGTGACCTCTGGCAACTTTGGCGCTTCCACCACAGACTTGGAAATCTCCTCAGGCTTCGTTCCCTTGATCACCTTTTCCAAACCCTGTAGCAAGCGATCCAGGGGGTCTCCAGCCCCAGTTGTTGTCCCCGCTCCTCCGGGCGGCACCGTTGATGGACCCTGAGCACTCGCCACCCCCGGCAAAGTCAGGCTGGGCTGCCCTGGCATATAAGATCCTGCTTGTTGAACTGATCCCGATGACATAGTAGAACCTGCATGCAAGCCCGATCCCGTTGGCATAGTAGAACCTGCTTGCAAGCCCGATCCCGAGGGCATAGTAGAACCTGCTTGTAAGCCCGACCCCGTTGGCATAGGAGGCATTTGCTGGGCTCCTCCTTGCATGTAGATATCCTCCAAGGCTTTGGGGTGGTCCTGTAGGCTCCCTCATAACTGTGCCCTCTCCATCAGGACGAAGCTGTTGAAGAGCCGCCACTTGCTCACGCAGCTCACTCGCCTCACGGCGAGAGGCCTCCAGCTGACTGATCACGCCACCCAGCTGTCTTCTAACCTCTTCTTGAACCGTTTCATAGTTACTCCCCGCAGAGCTCCCTTCCTGCTGAGCGACCGCTGTTGCGCCGTACAACAAAGGAGCACGACGCTCCATCTGCCGTGCTTGCTCCCTCTGCCTTCTGTCAAACAACGGAGCCTCAGCTGCAGGCCCAGGATCCGTCATCGGCGACGCCAGCTTTCGCGGGGGCATTGCCATAGGAGACGGCCACACTGTATGACCATTCTGCTGGTGCGATCTGACCTCCTGAAAGAAAGCACCCAGCCGCTGAATCCACAAAGGCATTGTTCGTCTTGTAGCTGCAACCGACCACGACGCCTGAGCAGCATTCTGAGCTTCCTGGAAGCCCTCCATCTGCATGCCCCAGTTTTGTCCATGGTGTACCTGCTCAACGACTGCCTCCGGCAACCAAGGATTCCCCGACGGAGATCCGCCTGCTGCAGTCATTGCAACGGCCATTGTTCTGACCGCAACCTGCTCGCCACTTCCCTGTACGCCCTCAGCACCAGCTGCAGCAGCCGCGCCCGCAGTACTTGGGCTCATAACCTCATGATGCTGAGGTCGAGCTTCTACAGGTTGAGGTGGCAAGACAGAGTCATAATTAGGCTCACCAGAAGACGAGTCCATGGCGGCACAACGAATTGGTCCCCTTCCTTTTTACACCACACCAGCAACGTCAAAGCTGCACTTGGGGTTGTACAAGTAAGTGCTGCAAATGTGCTGTACTGTTGCCCAAGGCTTTCCTACCGCAGCCGCCTTTAGGCCGAAACGTTTTCAGGGCATCGCTGTTTTTCCAACTGCTCCACAGCCAGGTTACAGCTTCTGAATCAAGAGCTTTCAAACTTCATGA